CTTGCCATATTTCTTACAGTAAACTAATTTTTCAAAACAAAGTTCGTCGAACTACACCTAACCCCCGATTTACACCGAAGATAGGTTCCTTCGAAAACCGTGTAAATCGAAAACAAACTAAAATGTGCATAATTCAGTCATTTATTTCAACGTAAAATAAAACTAAATATATCTTAAAAAACATAAAAATAACGGTCTATTCATAAAACGATAAAAATATAAAGGTATGTGTATGTAATTCATTTTACATATAGAAAGAAGAAGTAAAAATTAAAAAATTTCACCAAAAATTTAATTACCGTTATCACTTTCGTAGACTATTAATCTTTTATTCCTGGTTGGTATGATGTCACTTTCATCACTCGATAGTACTTGATGCGATTCAAGTTCGATGTTAGACGAATTAGAAACAATTTCAGATCGGCGAGCCTTGGTAATGAAATCCGTAATTGACAATTGTGTTTGGTTTTTGATCAAATCTTTATAGACCTCCTTATATTGAGTTAAGCGTTTATTAATATCTCGATGAAATAGGAGAGCTCGTTCAACATTCGGGTCATTTTGTAGAAAATGATTACCCAATTTTCGCCCTAATTCAAGTCCTTCACGGATGACTTTTGCTGTGAACGCAACTGGTTCAAATCGTGTAAATAAAGTACCGTGTAAATCGGGGGATAGGTGTATTTTATTAGTATCCGTTAATGTTGTTTCGGCTACATACTATTTTTGAATTACAAGATTGCAGATACATAGATGATGCGCGTTATTTTTAAAGAAATAAAACAATTTCCATTTGTATCTTTACACAAGCTAGTTACGTATGTAACAGTTTCCAATTGCCTCGTGATATTTTGTAATTAGTATAGCATTTCCAATTACGCTGCACAGGGTGTGGCGAGAGGCGGATGGTACGACCTAGCAGAAGATGATTTTATATGTAAAAATAAACTGAAAGTGGAGAATGAAGTGTTTCGATACAAAATTTACGAGTCTGTTAGTTTTCAAGAGAAGTGAACTTCAAAATTGATCGAGCATTTTCGACGGATTTTATAAACTTCGAGGTGCGAAATTTACTATAAAAATGATACACAGGATGCGTCGAATCCTTTTACCAACATTCATGCGATGGGTCGGTCGGTCGATCGTTGTGCAATGGACAGGAGACCGATGATTTGCTTTCACTGACTCACCTTTAACGTGATATTACGATTACCATTAGCATTAATCCGACTGGCATTTCGGTTATTCTTCCTAAAATCTCACACCTATTAAACCTACGTAATTTGTCAGCGTTTAATCACTCCGTGCAGCATTGACGCGTAAAGTAACAATATCAACGCAATGGGCAAACGACAGAGTTCATGAGGATATTGTAGCGTATTGATTTTGTTATTATAAATATGAAAAGAAGACATCTATGTAGTTGAAACTAGCCTTAACTCGTTTCTTTTTTTCTTCAAAATTGGGCCTATACCATTAAAAAAAAAAAGGCTCACTTGATACCTTGTAGGTGTAACTTGAAGAAAGTCTTACATTGACGACGCTAATAGAAAGAAAAGCATAGAAACTGCAAAAGAATTTTTCCAACGAAGCTACACTGAATTTTACAATAAAATGTTGCTCTGAAATGACAATAAATTGAACGTATTTAAAACAGGCGGGGTCCGTATTGGTATAAAGAAAGCGCTAAAGTGAAACTGAAATGTTGGTAAAGTATCTTAAGGGGGTATTCCAGTCTAGAGTGTCATTTTTTAGTCCTTCTTAGGGATTTTTTTGTAAGGAAAGTATAAGTTTCTCAGTATCGGCATTTTGCATACGTATTTATTCATGTTTTAAGAAAGTTCACAATTTTTTTCAAGTGAAAATAATCAAAACTGTCTGAATTATATATCATTCAGTGTAGTCCCTTTAAAAAAAAAGTGTCCTACTAGCTGACACGATTCCGCCCATTCTGTTTGTCCGAAATGAGAAAACCAAAAGGATTCTTGATTAGTACGACTGTGACTATGGTGTGAGCCAGAATGAAAAGAAAATAGTGAAAATTTACAAAATGCCGGCACTTTGAATTTTGTGTAACGATTTCGTCGACAATTTTTCGTCTTTCAGAGGCTTTAAAAATCAGAAAAACATACATTTTGACATAATTCTGGTTCAGACGATAACGGTACATCCACCGAAGGTGCATACTAGAACTTGAGATATCACGTCAGTCATTTAGAAAGACATGGTTTCGAGAAAAACGCGTTTAACACGTTAAACGCCCAGCCTGTTTTGCTTACCGTTCCGTTCAGGCCACACTTGGCCGTCAAGTGGGCCATGCGAACTATAAACAGAAGACGACCAACGAAAAGTATACTGTCAGTCACCGGTGACTGACACGGCCTGAACGGAAAGTATAGCGTCAGTCGCCGGCGACTGACATGGCGCTTAACGTGTTAATAAGTGTCCATGCTCACTTTGGACTTGAAGGATTGGTATTTATTGAAGTTTCTTCAAATATTCTGTAGGAAAATTTGTAAAAGGTGTGCTGGGAAATTAAATTCACCGTCTAATTCGTATTTTCAACAAGACAATGCTCCACTATATATGACTATTATTATTTAATAATGGATTTTACATAACACAGCAGGATACTTTGAAAACACTTCCGCAGAGTTGTGACTCAAACTCAATTGAAAATATCCGGCGTCGATTAAAAAAAAAAAAAGGATACGAAAAGATCAGAACACTGTAATTCTTGGAAGAATGGAATGAAGTTAATAACGAAGTAAAGAAAATGGTTGAAACATTCGTAACCAAATAGGTTCAACGAAGTACCGGGAACCAAAATAATAAATTAGATTGATTTAATATGTAAATATATAATTGTTACTATTACGTGTCAATATTTTTCTCCAGGCGTAGGATAAAACAAATTTTTATTAGTTCTGTATTGTCTATTTTGTTTATTTAGATCTAGCTTTGTACGTAGGTAAGTGAGCTATTGTAACATAAAGGTTGGAACTTCTTCTATTAAACAAAAAGGTCACTATTGCAACGAACATGATTGAATCATTTTTTCGGATATACAATAGATAGAAACAATTTCTCGTATATTTTCTTCGTAACAAATAAAGTATCAGTAAGCTCGATGAAAGATAGCAATCGGTTTATCGAGTATTGCGACGTTAAACTGCTAGATTATTAGCACTCTCTTGAGCATTATTTTTAATATCGAAAATGTGGTAAATCAACTTAATATAAATAAACAAATCGAAAAGCAGCATTGGGAACAAACAGAGGTGTACCGTTCGATGGGAGTAAAGATGCGTAATTTTTTTTCCTTTAATGCATGAAAATTGAAAAGCATCGATTACACACTTCTTTAAATATTTGCTCAATACGAGCTTGTACACTTCTAAATAATGGAATAGGAATTATTGTTCTATTATCCAATCAGACTATGAAATTTTGCTCGGCGCTGTATCGTGATCGTGTTTAATAAACATAAGAATATAAAATTTTAATAAACATTCGTATATTTTATATTCTGTACACCTTTCAAAAATATGAACAGTACATTACAGTTGTACGTACAATTCTACGTTGTAGTAAAATGTGATATGAAAGATGAAAGAAACGCGCAAGATAATAAGGTACTGTTTGAAAAATATTAAAATGCTAATTGCTGCAGTTACGTCAACAACATATTATTGTTCGAATATTTTCACAATTGTAGCTGGCATGGAATGGATTATGGTGTGACATTATGTGTAAAATACGCAATACACAAATGACTGTAACATTTATATTAATATATATATATATGTACATTAATGTGTGTGTGTGTGTGTATTTTTTATACATATTTATTATACATTACAATAAAGTATAACATGTAGATTAGCACAATTTGATTCTCCTGTCTGTGTATCCCTCTCTTCTTTTCTGTGTCGCACCCCTTTTTTCATTTCTTAATTTTTCACCCTGCATACTTATTCGTCTGAATAAATATAGTATACACATCACGTGTACATTTGTTATGTGCAACGGAACAAGGTGTGATAACTGAGATTAAGGGGTACACGAAAAATATATGTCTAAGAAAAAGTAGTCTTCCTGCATTAGGATTTATATAAAGCAAAATAGTAGTTTTCGTGGCAGGCTTTCAAAATAAGGTTAGTAGGATCGGTAGACTGGTATTGTATCGGGCAGTACAACATAGAAAGGCTAGACGAAGCAACGTATAAATACAAATTTTTCTTCATAAAACTGTCAAATATTCCCATTCTTTTGCAACATTCTTTACCCATTATATGTACATATATGAACTTTATTACATTCGTAACATGTACACTACCGGCCACAAGTTTGGAATCATCTGTCAATTTACATAAATATTGAATCTGCTACTAATTATTTATAAACTTGAAATGTTGTGGAAACCAATAGCACTTGACCTCATTTCGATTGATTCGAATGACAAAAAATTCTTAAAATTGCTAACTTCTTTTTAGAAATTTTTGTGTAACTTACAATGAACAGTGATTCCAAACATTTGGCCGGTAGTGTGTATGTATCATATATTAAAAACCGACTTATGATTCTGATCGTAACGTCCAAAGTGTTCGTAAGCAGTAGAATATTTCTAAAAATCTAATACAAACTAATGATCTAAAAACAAGTGATCTTATTTGCACGTCATTTTCAAAAATTTTCTTAAAATAACCTCTCGGGAAAGGATTATTTGTTCAAAGTTTATTCACTACGAGAGAATGTAAATTTTTCATTAATTTAAGGCGAAACACTTTGAACGAAGCTGTTGCTCATTTGAATCAGTAGAACTGTATTGACTTCTGTGATTTTATCTACACCAGATCTTCCAAATGTTTCTATTTATTTGAAATTTCGTTCTAATTTGACAGGCAAGCAAGACTCGTTGACAGCATACAGCACGTAAATTTGATAACGAGTATCAAAGATTTTATTAATTTCCTTTCGTAGGATTCCATTTTGAACGATAATCGATCAAGGGCGGTGGCTTTCGGTTTCAAGGGCGTTGTATTTTCTATGTTGCACTGTCGCGATATATTTCGCATGAGTTTTCCCTAGTTAGAACAACGTATTTGTTTATTAGTATCTTCTGTAAGGTTCCTCTTCTTCGGGATGAGCTGCATTATGAGCCAGAGCGCGTTGTATTGCCACTGGTATTGGCGGTGGCGTTGGTAAATGAGCTCCGTTAGCTTGGAAACCATTCTCATCGGCAGTGTAAGTAACCAAAATTGGTGTACCGTCTGGTGCTGTGTAACTAAATTGACCTCGTACGGATTCGATTTGATTTGGCCCAGAAAATTTCGGCGCGCCTTGCTCTGCCACAGATATGCCATTTTCTGTGTCGTAACTACAAGAAAACAAGCAACTTGTGAATATTACTCTTGAGCATTAATTTATTAACTTTCTACTTTTCTTTTCTATACTTTCTTTATTTTTTTTTACTACCGGCTGTATTAACACATTAAGGACCGCTCACGAGTTTTCTCGTGTTTTGCGCCCCATCTGTTACGGACGGATCACGAGACAAACCCGTGTTTTCTACACGTTGTCTTTAGATGTCAATTACTTTGATACATTGTATCTACTTTGTCCATTTAAGTGTTTACATCAATAGTCAATGTATTAACCGTTTTCGTCTCGTCCACACAGAAGAGATCAATCCCATTGGTGGAAACCGTACAGGTCAAGCTATGAAAGACTATAAATGCACGAACCCGAAATAAAAACAGCTTAGTCTCAGAGAAAATTCGACACGTTGCATTGCATTTTGGTGATTCGAATAGTCTTCGTCTTCGAAGCGAATCAAGATATATGTGTAAATTTTGTATGGGTCCTCTTCATAGAGAAAAATGTTTCACGCAATATTATACTTTAAAAAAGTACTAGAAACTTTG